AGGCAATATTGTCTGATAAATGTTCATGAATTCACTTTTCTAGTACAAGCTTTTTTTTTTATGGAAATTAATTACTGTTAGAGTTACCACACCGGATTGTTTTATAGATCATAAGGTAGGTCTTACTTGACATACACAATTAATCATTGTAGAGTCGGCACTTAATCACAGGTTTAGCTCAGTAACATGGTCTGAAACAATTCTTCTTATATATATATATGTTAGAACATCAAAGGAACTTATAAAGTGTAAACTGCCTCATCAGTACTTATAAATGATTGCCAGTAATTAAAGGACAGCTCATCTACATTAAAATAAAATCTGTATTTTTCTGTTAGAAGAATAAGCAGTTCCTAATATATATACCAATGAAATATTGCATTTGTTTAACTCGAATCCGTACATCTACACATTCTTTGGCTGTAGAAGTTGGAAGGTATAATAATATACCTAGAGGACGTAGATATTGCAAACAGTACCTCCCCCTATGAAGTAGAGGACGAATTTCATTTTTTATTAGTCTGTTCTAAATTCCAAAATCTCAGATCACGTTTTATCAAAAGCTATTATTGGAAAAAAACATATGTGTTTAAAGTCGTCCAGTTATTGAGTGTCCATAATATTAAAGTATTGTGTATACTAGGAAAATTCATCTATGAGGCAAACAAATTAAGGTTATTATAATCGAATATGAGATTCTTCATTATCTGTACATTGTCCATGATTTGTGTACAACATGTATTGTATACTGATGGGCCAATGGCCTAAAGTTCGAATAAAAATTGAAAACTTGAAGTCAGGGTGTATGTAAAGTCATTGTTATTTCACTATGAAATCCATTCAGATTTCTTTTACTTTGGCTTAGTAGCCTGAGCCACCCAGGGATTAATACAGCAATAGAAAGTTAGTACCCTTAAATGTTGAGATAGGGGAAAATATGCACTGTAGGTGCATGACCCGTCCAGCGAGGGCTGCAGGCTGGAGCCAGGGGCAGAGTACGAGAGGGGGGCATGGTTTACATCTTTAATTTTGTTGCTTGCTGTTCATTATATAGATTTTACAGTCGCAACAATTAATATCAACACAGGGAAAATGAAATAAATCACTCAGTTGTGGAACTGATGGAAAATTAAAAGAAAAATGGAACCAAGACAGATTCATGTGGTAGTAATTTAGTTACAAATGGGTGAATTTTTAAACTGAGATAGGGGAAAATAAAGCTGAAATAGGGGGGAAAATGCCAAAATTGGAGACGGGAACTGTCCCATATTTGGCCAAAAAAAGGGCCTGTATACTATCCATGCCACCTTAATCCTTCCATGATCACTGTAGACCATAATGGACCCATGCGCGCATCCATATCAAAGGGTTAAATTATGTTCATGCAGTTGTAATTTTGTGCATCCCTGGAATATATCATGACAAAATTGAAAGCTCAGTGTGCGTCACATATGCATCTTGTGGATTAGACGAAGAAGACTAGTTTGATCCTTTGATGAACAAACTTATGTTAGCACATAACGGTAAAATTGACAGATATCAATTGCAACCTAGTGATTGGTCAAGTTTGTTTTGCCTGACACCAGTCAAATAGCAAGCCATATGTGTCTTCAAATTTGCTACGACATATTCCAGGGGTGCAGATAACGTAAGTGAACGTAACCCCTGGAGTGTCCAGTATTCACTGTTTAATGTAGTAGCCCGGTTCCTGAATCATACTTTAATCGAATCATTTAAGTGTCATATCTGCCAATCCCCATTCAAAGTTGATATATTCTCAATTTCATATAGTGAATTCCATTTAATCCCTTCATATTCAAAAGACCGTATGCACCTTTAATTTTCCATTAGTGTCCTTTTCACTGCACACGATAAATGTTCATTTTCAGGAAGTCTTGATGAAATATGGAATTTGAAGTCTACATTACATATATTCAACCATAATATCAATTTATATGATATTGGAAACTAATCATGTATTATTCGTAAAGGCTTAGGCTTGTTTTGAACACAAACAGGAATTGAAAAATTCAAATAATCTTTCAATTCCACTTTGTGTTCAAAACAAACCTAGCCTGTATTATTCATACCAAACTGATGAATCTTATTTCAAATGTATAAGGGTGCCAGGAATGGATAAATGAAGAGCTGGGTGTCTAATTAGACAAGCTTTTCCTCAAACACTACTTCTCTTGTTTTGACTATTTTCCTACCACAGCACACACAACATGATGTTCTCTCCATGCCACTCCCATTTTTGTATTTCTAGATTGAGTTGGTCACTGTTCAAGCATTTCAATTTAATTTGTTACAGTCCCATTTTGGTGGCAGAAGTTGTATCATTCACATAACCAACTGGACAATTTGAAATGAATGGAAAAAAATCCAGAATTAGGATTTTAGTTATATTTCTACGTACAATGTACTTATATATATAATTAGGCTTCATGGTCAATATATCGTCAAATATGTTACATGTCTTTAATACTTGAGACTACTGTTCACTGTAATTAGTGCCCATGGTACATAAAATATTAGCTTTTCATAATCAGGGCACTTATTAGGATAATAAAAATTGAGTTATGATAGTATAAGTTAATGTGCAACTTCAACCGTAGCTACTGTATGTAACAAGACATATTAACATTGTAGTGTGGCTTAAGGTTTGGATATCAAATGTTACATTCGCTTAAGCTTACTACAAGTTCAGCCATGATCACCAGACAAAAATCTCTGCTTTCAAAGTGTAAGTAATGTAAATCATTAGCCAGGTCTGGTAATATAAGGTCTTCAATGGGCTAGGGGTTTATTGAATTCCAAATCCTTCTGAAAAAGGGGGAGGGCACTTATAGTTATAGGGGGCAGGGTGCTAATTATGGCCAACATGGTAATTTGGTATGCACAGTGAAAAAAACATCAATGAAGCTGACCACCCTGGCATAAGTGCCTAAATTGATGCTCGTTTTCTGGACCAGTGCACTTCAAACAGGACCAGTGAATTTTTAGTTCAACTGGACTTTTGGGCTAGTAACCCTTTTTTTTTCACCCCTGGAAAGATGATATAGCTTGATTAAGTCAACACCCCCATGCAACCCGACAGAATTCACAGAATTGGAGTTATAAGCATGAGTTAATTACCCAAGAATTTCCTCAGTGTCCAATAAAAGTTGGAGGATTAAGAATATAATAAACCTTTTCTGAGCTGTCAAATTTTGGCAAATTAACAAATTAAATTCTGTTGAATAATCAGTACTAGCAACATTTACCTGCAGTCAAAAACCAGCACTTCACAATGTATAATATACCTGCTAAACCCTGAATCTCCCAATGGGGTCATGACCCCCATTTGGAAATTCTGTGGGAGGTGATAACATGCAACAACAAAAAATAATGTCAAAATTAATCATTTAATTTTCACGCCGTCACAGCATAACATATGTTGTGTCTTCTGGTAGGATTTAGGACCTTTTTTTTTTAATAAATAAAACAAATCTTCTATACTATATCAGCAGCTAAATATGAAATATTTGGACTGGAATATTTTTGTTGGAATTATCAAATTCTTCAATGCTCAAGCTTTTGTGTTCATGTTAGCTAGTAATGTCACAGACATACAGCTATTTCAAATTGATCAAAATTTATATATGAACTCTGACATTTATCTGACTTTTTTTATTTTAAAGATATTTCTTGCCTGCTTGTAATGTTTTTGAAACTTATATCAAATTACAATTAACACAAAAGTGGATTATGATTGGTGTTTGTGGCCCTCCCTGTGATGACAGTTGAAGTGCCAGTGTTCAGCAGGTTCAAAGGGAGGAATTAGTGTAACAAATTTCAACTATACATACAATATGTAAAATCACTTCTAGTTTGAGGCCAGAGTGAGTTTCCCTTTAGCTTCATTGGTAGATTTACCTGCCGTTTGGGAAGCTTTGGGTCACTGGTTAAATCCCCAGTAAAAGCTAACAAATCTCCTTCCTGTTTCACAAATATACCACACCAAAAATGTGAGATGGGTTGTACTGTATCATTGATAACAGGCTATTTGTTTACCATGCAGGAATGATTTCACTCTTGCTCTGTGTAACCAGAGTCCTGATGCACCGTGTACTTGTAACAGGAGAAAGAGATAAACAATGGCCAGACCGAGATTTGAACCTGGGACCCTCCGAACCCTAGACGGACGCTATACTAATTGAGCTTCCTGGTCGATGACGATCCACCCAGTCCAGCTAACTCCTTCCTCCTTTTCTCTGTGTATTTGCCCTCAAAAAACACAACAATTTACAAATCGGGTTCGGATATCACCAATCATTCACCAGGTTAATTTTCCTAAACACAAATTAAGAGTTGGCAAGCTCGTCAATTTTTTAATAGGAGATAGAGAAATGCAAAGGACAGACCTGGATTTGAACCCGGAACCCTCCGAACACTTTTCTTACCAACTGATTAACCTGGTTACTGACTATAAACCCTGTCCAGTATGGGGGTCCAGTACTGCTACATAATATTATATACGGGAAGGTCAGTCTAATGTTAAAGTACAACGCAGTGAACCCAGTGTGACTTCATCAATTCTTTCTCAGTTTAGAATTAAAAAATATTTCAACAAAATAAACACAGTGTGAATGGAATTCTGCCATTCATATTTTGTGACTGCTGTCATATCACAAAATACCGTCTGTACACTACAACAAGTAATGGACTAGTAAAGCAGTTGGAAATAAGACAGCAAATCTACAATTAATTAACTGAATGATTGGAATACCATTATATCTTTCGTTTTAAACGATGAAAGTGTATAAAGGACATACACTCATGTTTACTTTCATCCGTATATGTTACATAATGTATAGATATGACCAGCTATCCCCAATGTCAACAGTGAGGCTGACTCTGATAACAGTGTCATGTGCTGTTTTTGGAATGACAACGGATGGCCCCTATGACATTACTGTGCTAACAACTGTACATAAGCAGTAAATTTATCAACTTACTTTGCCGATGAGAACAGTTCGGAGAAATATCCACAATAAAGTCACACCTGTATACTTCCGGAAATATCACAACAACCTGTCGATAGCTATTGATGCCAAAGCCACAGGTAAAACGAGGTCACCGAAACGTTTGAGCTTGATTCGGTAGAGTATGTAAACAAAGCGTTGAGATGATTGCGTATTGCACATAATCTCTAAACAAATTTATTTTTGTGTTTTATAAGAACTTTGATTTGACTGTAATTTTTAGGAACTCAATTTATATTAAAGATGTTATTATTTTTTTGAGTTTTCAAGCGATGTACCAATAATAGCGTTTGTTATGTTTTACTTTTGAAAAGATTCATGATTTTGAGATTAATTAATCATGTGACCAAGGACGATTGGTGGTAAAATATACTTCGTCTGCTAAAGTTACAATCTGTAGAAATTATGAAGTTGAGTTAGATACTAGGTATGAAAAACAACTGCTTCACCAGCTATTTAGTTGTGAAACACTTTTTTCGCTTCGTAATCATCTTACAACTGTGTAATATTGACCTAGTGTGATCCCAAGCGTTTTATTTTGGTAAGATATTGGTATCACGAAAACATAATATAAAGTACCATCTTATGACTTTTTATGTGTCAAGCTTCTGTGGTCCAATCCTGCTATCCAATACCTACAATCAAATTTACAGTTTGGATAATATGAGTATGTTGGTTATGTTTAGTAAGAGGGTAATGGTTTTGTATTGTTTTAAACAACAATCAGAAACACAATTAAATTTCTTTGTAATTTAATTTCCATAATATTCTGAATATGTAAAATCATAGAAAATGAGCCTGAATCTTTTATGATCTGCTAATCTTTCAAAATTCGTCTGTAAAAGATCTAAGGGAGAGGTTAGTGGTATTTATAGACATGATTTTTAAAGAAAATTCTCAGGGTGGGGGGTTTCCTGAAGCCCCAAAAAAACCTCTGGATCCGCCACTGTAGACTGGTTATTGTCGAACAGACAAAGTTGGGAATCTTTTATTGTACCCTACACTATATTATAGAAATTTGGTCGTTATAGATACCATTTGTCTTCTTAGGTTTCACGTTACACATATACGACAAAAAAATAAAGTTTTTTGTATTTTATTAGACCACTTTACATCTGTAAACTGGTAAAAGACACAAAATAATAACCAGTATTGTTATTTTTAGTTCTCAACAGTTTGACAAATGGAGTGAAGAAACCTGGCCTCAGAAAATGGAGAATCACCCATATAACACTAGAAAAAGAATGAAAAAACAGTTGAATGGTAAAGAATTTTTACCCCAAAAACAGAGCATAAAGTGTATGTTATGCTCCTGCATGAAAATACTGAGCATGAAGTGTTATCAATAGCTCTCCCACATATCCCTTCTTAAAAAATAATTCTCCTAGCCTTATATTGTTATATAAATGTATCCAGAAAACCTTTTTTTTTTGGTCAGAGCTGGCGTAAATGTTCAGTATTTACTATGAAGATATAAATTGGACTTGCAAGCTCAATATAAAATAGTACACTCCTGCAAATGCCCCCCATCCTCCTCAAAATAAAAATGGTAAATTGTACATAATACCATGCATTCTGGTGCATTTTTGAAGCCAAAACTAATTGGATTACAATTCAAAATTTAAGTACAAGTTGTGCATAAAAGATACTCTTTGTTTGTAAACAATATTTATTAATGCACAAAATAGATGTATGAAACCTAAACAAATAATATTGCTTTTTCTTGATTAATATATAAACCATTAAATTTTATTTTATTGTTAACTTGAAAAAAAATATGTAGAAAGTTAAAAGGTGCAACCCTATCACTATACAGTATGCCTGATATACTGAAAACTTTCTCTCCTTTGATGTCGGTTGTCCTGCACACGATGGAGATATTAAAGGTGTCTAATTGTTTTGATTATAAATAATATACACAGTTACCGGGTCGCAAGAAAAAAACTGGCCTGACAGACTGCAAAAACAGCTTGCTTGTCATTAGGACTTCCAGCTCTGGGCAATTTTTCTACCCCTGGTGATGATCTGGGCCCAGTAATAATTAGGCTGATGTTTTTTTTTCAAGTCCTGATAAAGGTAATGATGTTTAGATCTTTTAGATTTCATTTCTTCAGAATACATATTGAAGTTCACTGATTCCAGATCAGAATGATGGCAAAGTTGAAGACTTTCTTCAAACAGACAAGATGAGCCAGGACTTGTTCTGTAACTATTTAACATCATCCCCGGAAACTACACCATCGCAGAGAGCAGAGCGGGAACAACTAAAAAAACAGGTTCTCTAGATACGTTACAAATTTTATCTGGCATTAAGCCTATGCCTATTGCATTTTAGTCGAAATGCCAATAAATGCAATTTGTAGCTCAACCGTCTGTTCGGTGTCACCATTTTCTCAACTTCTTCTGAATAATCAAGAAGCTTAGGGTGATATTTCATCATTGGCATGCACAGATTAAGGGCTACCATTTTGTTAAAATTAATGACCTTTGTCAATGTTCAAGGTCACAGGGGTCAATTGTTTAAAAAACAAAAACATTAAACAACTTTATCTGAATAACCAAAATACCCAGGATGATGATATTTGACCAGTAACATGCTGGGATGAACAGCTACCAAATTTGTTCAAATGAATGACCCTTCACCCGTATTCAAGGTTACACTCATAGGTTCAGATATGTAAACACTTTTAAAAGACTTCTTCTAAATATTAAACATGGCCAGAATGATGCTATTTGGCCAGTATCATGCGGGGATGAGCTATCAAGTTTGTTTAGATGAATGACCTTCACCCATATTCAAGGTCACAGGGGTAAAATATGTTGAACATTTAAACTGCTTCTTCTGATTAACCTAAATGCATAGGGTGTTGATGTTTGGTCAGTAGCATGCTCACAAGTTTGCTCATGTGAATGACCTTGACACACTTTCAGGGTGGCAAAGTCAAATGTGTATAAACCTTTAAAAGACCTCATCTCAATAAACAAAAAGTCTATGGTGGTGATATTTGGCAAGTTGCATGCTGAGATGAAGGGATATAGTTTGTTCAACTTGATGTCCTTGTTTGACTTTCAAGGTCAAAGGGGTCTAATGCTTTTGAATACCAGATGAGCGATGCAGGCCTCTTGCTTTGTCTTGAAATGAATCCTCTCCAAAATTGAAGTCAGATAATGTGTTGGCCCCCTTAAATTGGCTTATTGTAAAATAAATACAGTAGTATATTATTTTGTCTCCTTTTTCTGGCTTTGAGATCTTGTGAATTTCACAATGGTGATGTTTTGAAGTTGAAGTTAACATTGACATAATTAGATTCATATTTTTCATTTTAAAAGGACGTAAATCCTGATCATTTTAACATGCATGTGCTTTAATTGTAGTGCTATGCTTTTTGTACAGATCACAGACTTTACATGGGTACAGTGTGACAACATTGACTGCCAGAAATGGAGACGTTTACCTGTGAAAGAGTGTGAGGGTCTTAGTCAGAAAGAATGGTATTGCTACATTGGTACTGACCCAAGGTATAACAGCTGTGAGGCTCCGGAGGAGGACCACCGGGCATATGATAAGCTGGCACGCAAACTTGGGCTCAATTATGTAATGTCTCAGCTGGCCCAGGGCACCATTGTCTGGGCCAAGATGATGGGTTACTGCAGGTAACAGTGAAAGGGAGAATAGTTGAACTGAAAAGAAAAAAAACTGTCACAGTTCTGAAATTAATATTCTTAAGTAAAATACATTTCTTTTGTTTAAGACAAGTGGTGACTTTCCTAAGATATTGCTCCATCCTTTGCTTTATATTATTTTATTTCACATACATACATGGAACATTTGATATTGAATAGGTACAAATGATAATTGTCCAACTCATTTTGCCTCAACACCAGGAGTCGTACTGGGAATATGCTTGTAGCGAGTGCTTACCAACAAAGATAATGTCATGAAATTAAGTAAATGCAAAATTAAACAATCTGAAGTAAATTTATAGAATGAATCTTAAAAATTTCAAAATCTGATTCCATTTATGTTAAGAAAATACATGACTATGTAAATTTCAGATGGCCAGCTCTTGTAACAATGGACCCAGCCTGTGGCCTGTCATGTGAATGGGACATTGACGGGGAGCCTCAGGTCTACCACGTGGAGTATCTTGGGACAAAGCACAGCCACGGCTGGATCAGGGCAGACAAATTGACCCTGTATGGCCATAAGGAGGAGGATAACCCACAAAAGGTAGGCAAACAAAACTGACAATGCAATTCTGTAAGACCATTGTAAAGAAGAAAACCCAACCTTAAGGTAGGCATACATAGCCCAAAAGTTAACTTTGTAAAATCAGAAGGACAGTGATTCAGTGAATGTACCATAAGCATTAACAAGTTCTGCTTGAATAGGCTAGTTTTTGTATTGAAACAGAGGAAATGCAGAACCAAACAGATGGTACGGACCATGGCCGCTAATAAGATCCAGAGGAGGAAATACCAAAAGGTGCCAGTGGACCTGGCCGTTATGGAGGCAGATGAGTTATTTCACTTGAATGAGGACCAGCGCTTGGCCGTATGTACATTTAAGTACAGCAAAAAAGTTGAAGAAAAACAGACAGGTATGATTGTAATTATAAGATCGATAGGGGTTCCTTAGCTTGACACATAGAAAATATGGCTTTCTCTTTCTGACTGTATTTTAGTTAGAGGTGATTACATCAGGATATAATTATGGCTAGTGGCTTGCTGAAAATGACCGATATTTAAGGTCACAGGTGTCAAATTTGTTAAAGGAGGGGCCAAATTCAGCCTTAAAAATTCTGTTAACCCTAGATCACAGGGCTGCAGATAAAACTGTTAGAATACTCAAATAATGTCTCGAGAACAAAATTTCTTATGACATTATATTTGACCATTTTCATGCCCCAGCCATAAAATGGGGGGCATATAGTGTTGCCCATATCCATCCCGTCCCGCCCTGTGATCAAAGTGGTTGTAACTTTTTATAGAACATCAAACACTGAAACTAATTTCATGTCTTGTAGACATTTTCTAGTCTTTAAACTGAAATGTGGTGCTACAGACATTTTGAAAACACTCAATTTGGTTGTCTTCTGAAGAAATGGAAAGGTCTTGAATCATGGGATATATTCAGCAGCTTCGTGAAAAATTATGTGTCTTCAGGCCCCTTTGGCCTCTTGTTAAGTTGGTGTTTTAACTTATATAATGTGTAATGACTGATTTTGCCAGCCTCAACAATTTAGTTAAGGTTTACACTCACAGGGAGATAACTCTTAAAAATCTCTTGGGCATATTTAATATCCATACCTCCAGCTTCAATAGAAAGCTGGACATTTTCCCAGCATGTCTGCTTAGGATTCTCCCAGCATTAGGATTCTCCATCCTATTGAACAGTTTGTCTACACCAAAGATCAACATTGGACAACAGATGTAATATAACCTGCAAGTAGGGGATCAAAATTCTACAAATTTGCCTGTGATGTTTTCTTATTATTTTACATGAAGTTTTGTTTCTCTGTTATTTTATATATGAAATGAGATAAATACTTCGTTTTAACTATCTATTTTAGAATCTCAGATCAGAACGACAGATGGCAGAAAAAGAAGCAAGAAGGACTCCCAGCAGAGCTGCTGTCAGCTTTGTGGAGTGGATACCCAAAGTCAGAAGAAGCCTGTGAAACGGGGTAGAAAGCTGGCTGCCTCGTTACATAAGGATGATGCTGTAGTGCCCAGCTCTCGGCAGCACAGCATAGACAACGACACTCTCAGTCAAAGTGACATATTCCAGTTCGAAAATTTAAAATTCAAAAGTACGCTTGTAGACAAAAGCAAAGAGGAGAAATTCAAGATTGATGTTGAGGTACTTCTTATTTTCTCCTTGATACCGTATAATAAATGAGTTCAATAACAGTTCACAAGACAACAGCTTTTTTCTCTTCATTTCATAGAAACTATCTGTTAAAAGTTGAATTTTATTTGTAATAGTTCTTTTTTCTTTTTGGGAGTTTGGGGGAAGGTTTAATTGACACTATTTTTACTTTGTCACCTTCAGCTCACAATTCTCTGAAAATTTTATGTGTGTATATGATACTTACTAGTAATATTTGTTTATTAATTGTTAAACAAATTCTACACTCCCTGTTTGAAAGATAATCTCTTACGCCCTCAGACCTGGGAGAAACATAATTATATACAGTATAACCGGCCATGTTTTCCCATGATGGAAAGCTATGCAAGATAACACTATTTTATATGACCATGAAGTCAAAATGCAAAGACAATGCAAGGTACTGTTACATGTTATTTAAGTCTATTTTGATGAATTTTATTGTCCAGTTCAAGTGTTTTATATATATTCATTGCCGTTTTATTTCTAGGTTGAAATGTATAAACCAATCTGTAATAAGCACTTTTCAGTAGTATTTGTAATTTTAATTTGATTCAGACTATTAAAGAAGGTGATATTTTGCCACAAGATGGCGGCTTCACATTACAATCATATTAATTAATGTTAGAAAATAACTCTATTACATATAAATTATGTAGGAATGTCTCACCTTGGGTACATAACTCTAGAAGCTTTGATTTTTACTCCCGTATTGTGTACTCACGGGTGGGACATTTCTGATATCCTTCACATTTTAATGATTTACATATGAAAGAGTCCGCCTGTCAAACTGATAGCCTATTAATGCTCTCATTACAGATGTATAAAAAGAATGAGAAAGCGTTTGATCATGATCTACGGAGATTTATGGCTAGAAACAAGGTTGCTGTCAGCAAGACTCCTGTTTGGCAGCGTGTTTCTATAGGTCTCTTTCAAATATTCTTGTCAGTATTTGAGCGGGGAGGCTACAAGAAGGTAAACATATCTTTCATAAACATAAAGATTTACTTGCAGGAAAGGCTTTTGCCACAGGCTGTTACCAGTATTTTCCCACAAGAAAGTTACGAAGGAACATATACTGGAATCGGCTTGTCTGTCCAGAGATACAATAGACCACCAGTCGTTTGGTTTCTATCCACTTTATCCTTGCACTGTGGCCTGTTTAAATTTGTATGGAGTTTTGTATCAGTAATTACCAATCTAATGATTTTTCCAAGAGTTATAAACCTTTTTTTACTTTGAAAAAAAACATCAATTTATTGAGATATCACACAAAACTTTTCTGAAAAGCCATCTCTTTATCAAGTAATGACACATGTTTACTATAATTGATCATGTACAAAAAGGAACATTTATTTAACTTTAAGTTTGTTTAAATACTTTCATTGGTTAGTTGGAGTTGTTTTCACTGTTGGTATAGGTGTGTGTATCAAGAAGCTGGGCAGCAGTGTACAAGGAACTGACAGAGCTCCCTGTTGGCCAAACATCTGTAGGAGGCCTAGCGAAGAATTATTACGAAAGGTCATTATATACGATCAGATCAATGGTCAAACTAAGGCCACTTTGATAACACAGGGTTAAACATTACATTACTTTCAATGTTCAGTTTATTTAAACAAGTAATTCTGTTAGTGTTTCAATGTGCATTGTAAAACATTGTCGTGGTTATAATCATTTAAAGTTCTCATAAAACCTTATAATTTTGGTCATTTTGGAATAAGTCTTAGTTACTCTAAAGACATTATTAGAAAGTGTAATTCATTTACCTATGATTGTTAATGATAATTTAACACAAAAAACTTGTGTTTGGTAATAAGCTTTTTTATCAAAATGATAATGAGGATCAAAAATTTAATGAAAAAAAACCCCAAAACAACAAAATTCCCAAATACTGGGGGTCAAACAAGATCAACTTATTTGTAATATTTCAGAAATGTGTACCCGTATGAGTTGTATATTACTGGAGGAGACTACCAAGCTGCTCTGAACAATATGGGAAACAAGAAGAATAAGAAACTTACTAAAGTCGATGTGGCTGCCTCGACAATGTCCGATGTTCCTGAGAGTGACAAACCTTCAACTGATCACTCTGGGACTGAAGATGGTAAGGATATGATGTCTGAAAACACTAGCTGTAGGTGATAAGGTGTGTATATCAAATTAGCATTCTTTACATTGATATGTACCTTCACTACAGTCCAACAACCCTAACAACTGTTAACCAATTCTAAGAACACCTTTTTATAAAAACGATGAAGGTAAGTACAAAGCTTAATACAGTTAAATTAAGTAGTTAAAACGATCGGGAGGAATGAAAAGTGGTCGCATAAAACAGCTGGTTGCTTGAGCAGATTCAACTGTAATGATTCAGATTTGCACATGGTCTTAATATGAATGGCCCAAGAAATATAACTCTCCCTCAGATGGGTCACTTTAATAGATATATCACTTACTCTAATTTATTGATTATACATATTCTTCGACTTTACACCACAAGAAAAAAACAAGGAAAATGAATAAAAATAACGTTACTACGTACCATAAAAAAAGGATAACTTACACCTCTATTTTACACCTCTATTTTTAAAAAGCATATAACAGTTTTGGTCCTACAATTCTTACTGTGTGTCTTGTAGATAATGGGGAGATAGAGCTTGAGAAATTGCTTGAGGAGGAGCAGGAGGATGTGGACTTGGAGGCCATGTTAACCCAACTAGAGGCTTACAGCAAGATGTGTCAGCTAGAGGATGGTAGGTGTATCTCAGATCTTCCTACAGAGACGAGATCAATGTCAAAATGGTCCTGTGGATTAAATTAGTGTGAAAATATCCACATGTCAATAGATATATATAGACATATAAAGGTCCTGAAGGTCTACTATAGGGGCAAAACCGGTTGACACTTTAATCTAATAAACTACAAGAACTACCTATTGCTCCTTCGCCTGCTGTAATTGAATCTATTTTCTGATGTACTCATTTTTACTCAATCCCCTTCATACTTTCGGGAATCCAGACGAGGACCAAAGGACCAAATTATTCTACCATTAAGAAAACCATGGCGTTGGCTCTACCCTTGCCTTGATATACAAAGATATGTAGCTGTTTAGTATCATTGCCTACGCAAAGTTTACATCGAAAGAGTAACAATGCAAACATTTTCACACGCCAGAATTTCCACTTATACAGATCAATACTTGGTTTGCCTAGATGTAGATGCAGCACAGAAGCGGCTTGGGATTGACATCACTTTCCATGACGATTCCTCAGGTAGCATCTTCTCCCCGGGGGTCAAACTGGCAGACACTGCCTCAGAGTTTGGCCCGTCCTATCTCCCAGGTAGGTGTGGTTGATTGAAGCTTTAATCATGTAGCTGAGAGTGAACTTATCATATTGTGACTTAAAGGATGTGATATTTATGAATTGTTATATCCTGTGTGTTATGGTCTGCCATTCAGTCATAATGTTAAGTAAGTAGCTGTCTGAAGGTGGAAAGTCTTGATCAGGATGTGTCATTTGTTGCAAAACCAATATTGTAATGATGCTTGTCTACCCATCAGTATTTTTAGCTCACCTGGTCCGAAGGACCATGGTGAGCTTATGCCATACCGCAGCGTCCGTCGTCCGTCAACTTTTCCTTTAAAACACTACTAGTCATGAACAACTGAGCAAATTTTGACCAAATTTGGTCAGAAGCATCCTTGGGGGAAGGGGAACACATTTTGTATAAATGGTGGGTCTGGCCCCCCTGGGGGCTGAGGGGCGAGGTCCAATAGGAGAATCATAGCAAATTATTTTTTTAAATCTTTCTTCTTCTGTAGGAATGAAAGGATTTGGTCCATATTTGGTGTGGAGCATCCTTGGGTAAAAGAGAACCATTTTTGTATAAACGATGGGTCTGGCCCCTCTGGGGACTGAGGGGCGGGGCCCAATAGGGGAAATATAGCAAATTATTTTTTTAAATCCTTCTTCTTCTGTAGGAATGAAAGGATTTGTTCCATATTTGGTCTGAAGCATCCTGTGGTAAAGGGGAACAAATTTTGTATAAACCATGGGTCTGGCCCCCCAGGGGCCTGAGGGGCAGGGCCCAATAGGGGAAACATAGCAAATTATCCTTCAAAATCCTTCTTCTTCTGTAGGAATGAAAGGATTTGGTCCATATTTGGTGTGGAGCATCCTTGGGTAAAGGGAAACCAATTTTGTATAAACAATGTGGCCCCCCTGGGACCTTGGGTGTGGGGCCCAATAGGGGAAATAGAGGTAAAACCTTAATAATCCTTCTTCTACCATTGGGATTAAGGGGTATTATCCTAATTTAGTCTGGAGCATCCTTGAGCCAAGGGGACTCAATTTTGTATAAGCAGTGGGTGTGGTCTCCCAGGGGGCAGAAGGGAGGGGCCCAATAGGAGAAATAGAGGTAAAACCTTTTAAATCCTTCTTCGACAATCGGGGTTAAGGGATTTTAGCCTTATTTAGTCTGGAGTATCCTTGGGTCCTTGCATAATTGGTGGGTATGACCCCCCTAGGGGCATAGGGATGGGACTCTGTTTGAAATTTGTTCTCGCTATATCTCAAGTACTGGATGGATCTTTCTGAAATTTCATATGTACTTACAGCACCTACCATGGAGTGCTATATTTTCACTTCATACCAATTATTTTAAACATATTCAGGTGAGCGATACAGGCCCTCTGGGCCTCTTGTTCTTTTCCACACCATAACTTTCCTTTGGGTCAGTAACACTAAAATACAAACTGTTAACGGATTGTCATTTTCTGCAAGATGAATCAAGTTCCCTTGGCCCAAGCAATTACCAGTATAATCCTTCAAATTAAACCAACCAGCAGACCGATTAGTGCTGTAACGAAGTTGCTAGAGTGATGACAGATAATTCTATAAGTAGTAAAAGTGACCTTGACCGTGGACTCATTAAAGGTATTATCATATATATTGTATTACCAATGTGTGAGTTTGATCAAAATCTGTGAAGTCTGGAATGAAGTCGCTAGAAAGTGACCAAAATTTGCTATAAATAGTAAGTGACCTTGACCATGGACAGCTGAAACATGAACTCATTTAAGTTATTATCATATATATTGTATGACCAATGTGTGAGTTTGATCAAAATCTGTGAAGTCTGGAATGAAGCTGCTTGAAAGTGACCAAAAATTGCTATAAATAATAACAGTGACGTTGACATTGACTGTGGATTGCAGAAACACAAACTCATTCAAGGTATTCTTATGCATGACCAATACATTAAGTTGGATCAAAATCAATACAGAAATGGAGTTGCTAGAACGATGACAATAATTGAACATATGTATGAACATTAAACAGAACGCAATATCCCCTCCTCAACTTCGTTGCAAGGGGCTAATTAAACAAGAGGCCCAAGAGGGCCTGTATCGCTCACCTGAATATTTAAGCAGTCATAGCAAAATATTCTCATTAAATATCATATTGCACTAAAAATATTTCCCTCGCAAACTTTGTTGGCTCCATCTGTTGAAACTACCAGCAAAATATTATAAGATTCTATGCTTTTTGATTCTTCAGAAGTTGCTTGACATATTTTTCCCTGTGACCTTGTAATTAGGTCAATGTCATTTTCCTTCTCAAATTGGTCAGCTCTATTCCAAAAGCTACCAGCCAAATCTTATGAATCCATTACTTTTAGTTCTTAAGAACAAATCCATTAAAATGTTGTTGACCTCTGTGACCTCTAAAGTAGGTTGAGGTCATTTTCATTCGCAATCTTTGGTGAGCTCTATCCCAGGAAGTCATCAGCCAAATATCAAGATTTTATACCTTTCAGTTCTTCAGAAGAAGTTGTTCTAAGCTTTAGTCATATCTGACTCCTGTGACCTTAAAAGTAGGTCAAGGTCATTTTCATTCTCAAACTTTGTTGGGCTCTTTCCTAGGAAGCTACAAGCCAAATATAAAGATTCTATACCTTTCAGTTCTTCAGAAGAAGTCATTTGAAGCTTTTGACCCCTGTGACCTTGAAAGTAGGTCAAGGTCATTTTCATTCTCAAACTTTGTTGGGCTTCATCCCAGGAAGCCATCAGCCAAATATGAAGATTCTATACCTTTTAGTTCTTCAGAAGAAGTCGTTTGAAGTTTTTTACATATTTGACCCCTGTGACCTTGAAAATAGGTCAAACTAATTTTCATTCTCAAACTTTGTTGGGCTCTATCCCAGGAAGCCACCAGCCAAATATAAAGATTCTATACCTTTTAGTTCTTCTGAAGAAGTCGTTTGAAGTGTTTGACACATTTGACCCCTGTGACCTTGAAAGTAGGTCAAGGTCATTTTCATTCTCAAACTTTGTTAAGCTCCATCCCAGGAAGCCATCAGCCAGATATGAAGATTCTATACCTTTTAGTTTCGTCAGAAGAAGTCGTTTGAAGTTTTTGACATATTTGACCCCTGTGACCCCTGTGACCTTTAAAGTAGGCCAAGGTCATTTTTGTCTCAAACTTTGTAGGGCTCCTACCAAAAAAGCTTTCAGCCAAATATCATGACTCTAGGCCTGTCCGTTCTTCAGAAGAAGTTGTTTAAAGGAAAAGTTGATGGACGAGGACGGACGGATGATGGACGGCGCATCACGACATAAGCTCACTTGCCCTTCGGGCAGGTGAGCTAAAAAGTAGGACTTGCTAGTTGAGAGAAAATTTCTAGACATTACGTATTGATGTTAGTACATATTTTAAAGAAAAGTTCTTCCTGAACTTCAAAGCTGAACACAGTTCCAGGGGATTCATGATTATTGATGGATACATATCAAGTTAAATTTTTGGTACTCTTTTTTATTCTGTTTGCTTGCGTTGACAGATGAAGGTGCCCAGATGGTGCCTAGTGTAGATATGGACAGTAACATTGACAACCCCAGTCAGAGTGACCAGATACTACAGCAACTCCTAGTTCTAGATGATGAGTTCCTACAATTGGAACATGAAATGGCCAGTTATCTCTGATGTATCCAAAGTGCTTATTTTTTATCTCTAGTTACATTACAATATTTGTCTTTTCTTCCACTAATGTATTGGAGCTTTGGACCAGCTACACAACAGGAATAGTTCATAAAATCTACAGATTTGATAGTGTTCATGGCAAGTCGTCTTATTTTGGAGGGAACTTCAAATTTTATTTCTCATCACTGGAATTCTGTACATAATGAACAGCTGAAACTATTGCATTTACGCCATTAGTCAAATAGGGGTCATCCTAAGAACTTACAGTTTAGTCCTTTCACCCCTATGTAACTTCAGTAAACTCTTCCATGCATTGATTTGAATGAGTCCATTATGGTCTAAAGTGGTGAAAGGGTTAGACAGTTTTAGATCCTGCCACATGGCTTCTTCTCAATCAAATACATGAAATGTTGGCAGGTTACATGTTGTACATTATGTTACAAGAAGTATTAATGTAAATGCATTGATTTTCGAAGTGCTGTTTTTTGATTTTGTTTTTGTCTCAGAATTAACTATTCCTTGTAAAATATGAGATATCTATGTTGACTTAAAATGTTTATTGATGTCGTACAAATAAACGTCTTAATTGCCTCAGTGTTCAGGGAACTTATTGTTTAGTTTTTAATAATGCTTGGCAATTAATATTTTACATTGTTCAGTATTATTTCATTCAATTAGTTAACTGTAATGACAAATGATTTATCTGTTCAGTATTATTTCTTTTGTTTACTCACGGAATTAGACTTTGCTATCAAAGTCTGTGTTTTACTGAAGTGACTGGCAAAATTATTTTTATTTCATTGTTCAGTAAGAAATTTCTTTAGCTTTTTCACCACATGTATCATTACTTATTTCTTGACAAAACTTTTGATTTACGTGTAGATGCACCTATTACATATCATCAGATGATAAAGTTGTGTAAATCTTGTTTTGTGTCACCTTTTACATGATGAGATTTGTGCCAAAATAAAACTTTAAAGATCTATTGTTTTTTTAGCTCACCTGGTCCGAAGGACCATGATGAGCTTATGCCATACTGCGGTGTCCGTCGTCTGTCCGTCAACTTTTCCTTTAAAACGCTACCAGTCATGAACGACTGAGCAGATTTTGACCAAATTTGGTCAAAAGTATCCTTGGGGGAAGGGGAACAAATGTTGTATAAATGGTGGGTCTGGCCCCCCTGGTTACATTGCGGGGCCCAATAGGGGAAATATAGCAAATTCTTTAAAATCCTTCTTCTTCTGTAGGAATGAAAGGATTTGTTCCATATTTGGTATGAAGCATCCTTGGGTGAAGGGGAACCAATTTTGTATATAGCGTGGGTGTGACCCCCAGGGGCTTGAGGGGCAGGGCCCAACAGCGGAAACATAGCAAATTATTCTTTAAAATCCTTCTTCTGTAGGAATGAAAGGATTTGGTCCATATTTGGTCTGAAGCAGCCTTGGGTGAAGGGGAACCAATTTTGTATATAGCGTGGGTGTGACCCCCAGGGGCTTGAGGGGCAGGGCCCAACAGCGGAAACATAGCGAATTATTCTTTAAAATCCTTCTTCTGTAGGAATGAAAAGATTTGGTCCATATTTGGTGTGGAGCATCCATGGGTAAAGGGGAACCAATTTTGTATAAACCATGGGTCTGGCCCCCAAGGGGCCTAAGAGGCAGGGCCCAATAAGGGAAACATAGCAAATTATTCTTTAAAATTATTCGTCTGTAGGAATGAAAGGATTTGGTCCATATTTGATGTGGAGCATCCTTGGGTAAAGGAGAACCAATTTTGTATAAACGGTTGGTGTACTGATAAGTTTGTGCTTATTTGACATTGAGGTCAAGGACACAGTGACCTATTGACAGTGCATCATCTTTGGGTGATATTGATGCAGGAATAATGAAATTTATGATATCTATAACAGTTAAAAAGTTACAACCTGGGCCGTTTTCGTTTAAACAGTTGAACAGGTCGGACCAAAGTTGTTCGTTTATTAAATAAAGTCGGACCTAATCTGATACTGCTTTCAGGTGAGCCCTGACAAAGCCTTGCAAGGCCTTCATAAACACTTGCAGGTCCGCCAGAATTTATACCCAAAATTGTTACATTTAAACAACGGACAAACAGGTTTGTTCCGCATAGACGATCAGGCTCCTCGACTAGATGTTTCTGAAAGTACGCACTTAAGTTAACCTTTAACGTTGAGGTCAAGGTCACAGTGACCTGATGACAGTGCAATGCACATCATCTCTTGGTGATACGAGTATAATAAAAGTTTTATCAAAATATCTTGAATGGTTTTAAAGTTACGGACCGAACCGGAAATTATTAGAAAAACCAGCACTACTACAATGTCACCCTTCATTCGAAGGGGAGAAATGATAAAAATAAAGAACATGATTCCATAAGCACATTTTATTTTTTCTCCACTGTCCGACACTGTGGAATTATTCTAACATGACAAACAGAAAACAATGACGCCAAAATAGTAAAACACCAAAATAATACCGTACAGTCCTTAGTTACTCTGTTGGTTGATTATATAATAAATTATATGCAGACACATCATCTCATGATGTTCAAAACAGTATCAGTTGAAAATAAATTGGTTGGTTATATGAATTATAAATTACACATATCAATGATCAGTTTTACACAAAGATTCAAACTTAACATAATCCTCTGCTCATGAATTGCATTGATAAAGTTTAATGACGAAAACAGATTTAAAGCTAGCTGAATGCTTCAAAGTGGCAAAAACTAAAAATGGAGAAAGAATAAAATGAAAACAATGATGAAACATCCTTGTGATCATGATACATAAAATTCTGTTGGAAAGATGTGAATGTCAAATTAGTTATAAATAAATTGTGTATGAAGTAATGATAAAACATTGGATAGGTCATATGGAATGACAGAGCTCAAGTTGGCTAGGAAGGTTCACAATATTGCATTGCTATATTTATATAAAAAAATACAAGCTTTTACTTTGCCTTAAATTTGATTATTATTTTGAACATTCATCATCATATATGCTACTATATTAAAGTAGCACACATATATAAATAATATATAACAGTGAACTTGTAAAATTCACAAGGCTCTTCAGAATTATTTATGGGTGGTTTTCGGCCTCATAAAAAGCACTTGCAAACTCCTTATTTTGGAGGGAGACTCCCAATTTTCAGCGGGTAAACTTGCTATTACCTACGTAGAAGATGGCAATTATAAGTGCTGTCTTTTAGTTTTCTCTGGGGGGTATATACATACCTTTTAGTTTTCTCTGGGGGGTATATACATACCTTTTATTTTTGTTTTGAATTTGGAGGAATCTCTCCTATGGAAATTTCATTCAAAAGGTTGGTAAGTATGAAAAAGTAAAAATTTCAACTTTAATTTATTTACTAATATCTTCTTGAAACATCATATTGGTTAATTGGGGCAATTTTTCTTGGTGCAGATTTCTTTCATTGCACATGCATAGATGCCACACCATAGCAATAAAATTGCGTTGCTATGCAGAAATAGCAAAAAAATATGGTGTTTTAGGACAGTTAGCATGCAGAAATGTAAGCCTCTGCACGCGACAACCAAGAGTTCTTTTCTACGAATGAACACTTGTATGGCAGTGTTTCAGCATGCCAAATATTTAGTTGGTTGGTGCATGTGAAGGGTTTAAAAAATTGAAAGGTGTTTAGTTAGAACATGAAGTTAGTTTGCTTCAATTTTCAACGTAAATAGCACATAAAAGACGATATTCATATATTTTACTATAAAAAATGCAGGTTTATACCTCTCTTTGTTATGCCATGTCTCCTATACCAGTTGTCAAATGAATTTGAAACTTCATGTTTGCGTACTTCATTTATCCAAGATTACGAATAGAACAATTAATTCTAAATCCCTGACGAGGCCAGAATGCCAATTAACGCCCCTAGTCCTTTGTGGAAATCATATCTCCACTTCCAGGACAAGTTACATGTGTATCATACTCTGGTTTGGTGTAGACATACTGTTCAATTAGCATGGAGAATCCTAAGCAGACATGCCGGTAAAATATCCGGCTCTTTACTGAAGTTGGATAAATGCAAACTTTGAAATAGAAATGAAACGTAGCGAAGCACTTGGCAATATGTATGTGATCCCAAATTTGGCTGAAATGGGGAGTTGATGCACAGAAACTAATCAACCAATCAAAGTTGGCAGCCTCATTAATTATGCATAAATATTCATGCATCAAATTGGCAGCCAAACAGTCTGATATATGTCAATATGAAATTGCACACCAAATTTGGTTAAAACTGAACCATTTCAAAAGAGAAGTTTATTGCACATAAGCATTATGTAAATTGAATACCAAAACTGATACCCCATATTTTCTCTGAAAGAGGGGAATAAAATGACTGATGTTCTCATTAAATGTCGTCACACTACAACAGTAACATGACATCACAATAACACAACTCCTGGGTGAAAACTGCTACTTCATACGCCTGCCATCATATTGTTTTTATTCTCCATGAAGATATATTTATGTAGTAATTTTACTTTTGTATAATATAAACATATTTCATTGAAGCTTATATTAAATTATCAATTTACCAGAGAAAAAAAACCCAACTTTTACTGGTATTTCACAACCATAAGTATGTTATGCATTCTAACTTAATCTACGCACATAATGGAAAAGTGAGTCGAGACAGTTGTTCAATAAATATCTTACTCTTATCATGCACAACCACTTTCACACATCACGTGATAATTAGGTAGATGTTCTAATGGAAACTGTAGGATATGTTATAAAATAAAGATAACTTTGCATTCAAATATGAAATTTGAGCAATTTCTTAGAATGAGATCTTTCCGTCTTCAAAATCAATGATGGATGTTGATATACATGTACGATACTACACTATTTTTATGCTTTTAATTTGATTTTTCTTTTTCTATATTTACAAACTGTGATTATATTTTCACACTAATTATAACTTTCAAGGATTTATACAAGTCATAGAATAACGCCCACTTAAAACCTTTTTATGTTTTGATTTGTAATCAAACAGTATTGTACAAAATGTAATTTACAACAAAAATTAATTCAGAAATCTATATTCTGTAAAACAAAACTAGAATTAGTATCAGAGATAGACTTCTGTCTGTCAAATTAAACAAAAGTCAACTAAGAAAATCTATAACAAAATCACTACACAATATAGCTCTATTAGACTGAAAAGTCTGTCTCTAAAAATGGTTATATCTCATGTAACATTGTGATTTTTTCTGCTAATTTTGAGTTTCTTTGGGGGAAAAGAGAAATGTTCAGAGTTGGATGCGGTGGGTTAACAAGATTTTTCTATAAATATTGTTGAAATATTTTGATAACATTTGAAATATAAACAATGCTTCTATCTACTACACTGTACTCATCAGATATTATCAAACTGTTTCAATAGCCCTAATGACACATTTTCATCTTTCACGTTGGTTAGTTCAAATGCACACTTGAACACAAATGAAAGATGTAAAACATACCTGGATATTATCAATATTTATTGGATAGTTTATGTTGTAGTCTCAACCCTGATAATTTAAACTAATCACGTGTAATCGTGGACATCAGAAATATTTGATTTTCTGTCGTTCTCATTGGCTCCTGTTGAGATGTATCAGGTGTTACCTGTGATCCTGTGACCTTGTAGACTCACTACGGAGGTCACAAGGTCATTCGGCCCCAGCTAACAAGCCTCTGTTCAATAAGGGAACGCCACTGGAATAGTTTTTGTGTCATCAACATTTTGAAAATCTCACATTAACATCATATATTTCTTAAATATAATCGCTTGTAAGTAAAGTTTCCCACACTGCCCTAATGGGACAGGAATAGACACTTCAGGTGCATAAAATGACTTTTGTCCAGAACTTTTTTAAAACAACAAGAAACAATCAATAACAATATTTTACAATCGATAAATCAAAACAGACAATACTCGATACAATCGATAAATCAAAACAGACAATACTCGATACAAACAAACAAAATAATCAAAACCTAATAATAATTTACAGGCGTGACATATCAAACTTGGACAAAGTCATATGTCCTATTACATCAACAAAAATTATATAACATTATACATAACGTTTGATATATACAATATTTGTTCTGATTCCTATACAGTACTAGTAATGTTGGTCACTTGCCTATTTTTGTTCATAATGTTCATTAAAAGGTACAAAATCACACATTTTCTACATGATAAATAATTTTGGCTAAAAAAACGACCAGGAAGAGTTGTCCTCGTTTGATAGCGTATCAACAACAAATGATGTTTTGTTAAAAATGGAACTAGCTGCCTGTGACTATCGTATGTAAATGGAAGCAGGTACAAAAATCTACTTAGATGTGTGATTTTCTGTAGTTTAATGAAAAAACAATTGACAAAAACAGGTTGATTTCCCCATGAACTGTTTGTAAATGGGCCATTTAATTTTGATGTTCAAACATCATATAACCTAATGTATGTGACAAACACAGCATTTCCCCCAAAAAAACAAAAACAATAAATTTGGACCCTACATAATATCAATATTCAGCCTGTTAACTCATGAAGCTTTGACTCTGGATTATGATGTAAGATCGATGACGACACACAATAAACATATGTTTTTAGTAAGTGGCTTTTTAGTATAAAAATAATGAAAAATATATAGTATGCTTAATTGGTGAATATTTTTTTCACAAACTGTCACAAATATCAAATTTATTAAACTTGCAATGGTTTACAGACGACACAGAAAGAACAAACAAAAAAGTAAAATAGCATGATTTGGATGATAAATTTTATCCATGTTGTTCATGTCTTGCTTGTTCAAAAGCTGTTGCAGCTGGATTGGGATACGATAAACATTGTCAGTGTTATTCTTAAGATATCGTGTCAGGGCTGTTCCAAAATTTACTGCAGGGAGGGGTCGGAGGTGCTGTTCCAAAATTTACTGTAGGGGAGGGGTCGGAGGCGCTGTTCCAAAATTTACTGTAGGGGAGGGGTTGGAGGCACAGTTCCAAAATTTACTGAAGGGGAGGGGTCGGAGGCGCAGTTCCAAAATTTACTGTAGGGGAGGGGTCGGAGGTGCTGTTCCAAAATTTACTGTAGGGGAGGGGTCGGAGGTGCTGTTCCAAAATTTACTGTAGGGGAGGGGTCGGAGGCACTTTTTCAGTGATCCAACCACCCATATAAACTTAAAAGTGATTTAATATACATAATGGAAGGCAAATCTGGTTTTAACCCACAACCCGTAATATATCAAAACAGGTGCCTCTCACCTACCCCGTACGATGATTATGGAACAGCCCGAAGTGAAATCTTTGAAATTTAACACCAATGTAAACATTTCCAATAAAATACAATAAACAAGAAATCTCGTCTAGAAATTGCCAATTCAATGGTACATTGTTTTATATTTGTTTAAATAAGCAATAAAATAGAACTGTGTGAAATGAAATATGTGTACAGAGTCAGATTTATCATGGACCAGTAAACTACTAATACTATTCACAATGATGCGATAGTTGGTGTATACCGCATGCTCGGTAAAAATCACAAATATCATGATGTTCAGTTTCGAGAGAAAAAAAAGGATTCAGGTTTGATCTTGAAGGACGGCCATTTGACTTGTACAATACATTAATACAAATACACAAAATTCCACAACTACAGTCGTAGGTACATTCTAGTGTCCTATAGCTCACAGCACCACTCACGACATCACCAACTAACTGGGGTTACCTAAGTCAAACATCAAACGTGTTGTGTCTTTTGACCACAGAAGATTTTGGAGAGAGAAATATTCAGAACTTGATCCACAAAATATCTTGTAACAAATATACTTATGGAAGACAAAAACACAACAAATCATATTTCTAGAAACAAATACACACAATTTTTTAAGTAAACAAGAGGCCCATGGGCCTTAACGGTCACCTGATATATTTATACAGAGAGTTGATTTCGTTTTTAACATGAACAGAAATATTATTCAAAGTGACAAAAAACAATAAAACCACCTTATTCAATATCAAGCATACAGATTTCAGACTAAAAAGGATTTGAAACTAGCACCTCTGATTCTAAACAAGGAAAATGAAGAAATTTTAGCACACTGACTCCTTTGAGCCCCACCCTACAGCCCTTGGTGGTAGGGTTGGCTCAAAATTTTCAAAGTATCAAACTGTCAATTCAAGGTTATAATTCCAATCAAGTTATTAACATGTAATA